CATTCACAAATAGGAAGTGATGAAGACAAATCGACGATTAGAAGTGTATTAGCTGTAGTTTATGCTTTAAAAAGAAAAAAGTTAGATACCATTTGTAAATTCACCTGTACTTGCAGAAAGGACTGAAAAAAGAAAAAAGGAAAATTTCTACAATATGTCTCATGTTCAAAGTAGTCATAACAATGATAAAGTAGATAACATGCTTATTAATAAAAAGATTCGTTTGGAGATCAAGTGCTCACGTTTTTGGTCATTGTGGACTCTCTTCTAATGTGATCAAACGTAATATTTTGACACACCTTCTCTACGCAATACCAAATTTACTTTAAAGTCAATAAAAAATAAAATCAATTGCTCGAAATACTTCCTTTGAAATGTGGCCAATATCACAATGAGATTCTATAACTGCTCGTCACTTTTTTGTTTTGTTTATCTCTCAAATGGTTTTGACCGTAGACATTATTTTGAAGACGTTTTTCACTATCAGGTGTTAATAAACCTATCTGTTTAAGTTGAAGAAGTATCATGTTGCACGTTTATTGATTTGATTTAAGTCATGAAATGTTCGTTGTTGTGCAACAGTATATGAACGAAGATGTACTACTTGTTCTAATTTAGTTATTTTTTCGTTGTTGGATTATTACTAACATCATTTGTAATAATAGGATTAGTGAAAAAATTAATAAGATATTCTTCGCGAAATTAATTTTTTGTTTCTTAGAATATTTTTTGAATTTTTGTTGAAACAGTTCAGTGTTTTTCTCAAGTTGATTCTACCGAACATTCAGTAATTTAGAGGCCTCTTAAAGAGAAATTAGATAGGTACAGTTTAACAAAGACACTTACAATTTCTTCTTTTTTCAACATATTATGACAGCTCAAGAATGCATCTCGGAGCAGTTCGTAATTTGAGGACATTTTTGATCAGATACAAAATTAGAAAATTCTTTACTTCTCTGATTAAAGTGAACAAGAACTCGAAATTGCCTACTAAGTACTGTTTATTTGTTTTGAATCTGTTGGTATTATCTGTGTACTATCGTTCATGTGTCTTAAAGCTTTGATGGAAGCGTCTGATATAATTTCAGAATTTTTTCTTGTACGAAAATTGAACGCCTTGCATCGACTATGTCTGGTATGGATCTATAACAAAAGGTATCATTTTTAACTGAATTATTTGATGTGTCTGCAAGAGAAAATTATTGAGTTCATTAACAAAATGTGCTCATTAGGTGGAAAAATTAAGTTTGAACAAAAACGAAGCATTCTAGAAGATGCAAATGAACAGAGAGAAATTGTTGTGACTCTTGATTTAATAAAATTACATAGCATCTTCTTCAAATATAAGTGATATAGGACAAGCTATTCGAAAAAATGATGAAGATGACATATTTATTAAAAATCATTAAGAAAACTTTATGACGGCATTAATTGAGAAAAATATTAAAATATCAAAAAAAGGTTTTGGGTCTGGGTGTGAGTATAGCTAAGCTGAACACCCACACCTCAACTTTCTTGTCTTTCATCAATAATGAATAGATCAATATTTGAGGGTGTGGATATGGGTACTCACTTGATCCATGCCAACACTCACACTCATCCATATTCAAGCATGATCTTCAACTAGTAATAGATCTTACTCGATCCATTTTCAAATATGTTGTCCGTCGGACAATATCGCATATTTCATTCGATAATGAGTAGCATTACTATGAGCGGCTCAAGTAACCACATAATAGTAGAATGAGCAAGAGAAGCTCAGATATGAAAGAAGCAGAACTACACCGATTTACCAGGCGCGACAGCTAATGTTTATTAAAAGACACAATACTGCAGGTAAGTTCAACGAACATTATATCATGGTTCACTTCACATCAAGCACCAAGTTGGCTCAAGAAACCTGATCTTTGCTGTGGGAGAACTATCATTATATGGACGAACAACAGGTGCAGATGAACGATACTCATTTGTTTAGAGATGTTGCCTAGCTTACGGTTGCTATCTATCGAACTTGTTCGACTGGGGGCATTCATCGAACGATTAATAGAAATTCGTCTGGCAGGCGATAGGAAATGTCATAGGCGACGATATGTGGACTTCTCTTCGCATTGCTGCACGTGATGTTTATTTGCTAAGGATGTCAAAGAGACTCTCTCGCTTGGCACGTTTTTATGATCCGCGATACATCTACTCTCTAGTTCCCATTGTTACTCATAAAATTCACATAGAGAGAGATCCTGTCATACATTTGATGTGCTGTATGTGCAGATAGGCAGAAAACAAATGTATTATTTGTAAGATGAGCTAACCATATAGATCTTTTGTTTACCCACAGTCACCCCATCACTCTTCAATGGAAGGTTTTACATGATAGTTCCAAATCGATTCGTGATTAAAAGGATTTATTTATTAGAATCATCAGAAATGAGTCATTACTTTATACTTCCCAAAAGAATCTGTCACATATACAACCTTGAGGCTTATCGCATCGGCGAACGAAGAAGCCAGTAAATCGGCATTGCCACCATTGAGCACATTCTTGTGTGCATTGCCAGTCGAATGCACCTCGAGCGTTTCGTACGAGAATTTCTTCATCGGATTCTTCCTGAAGATTGTCATTGTCCATAGGCACCACATTTGCTTGAACCATAGTGACCATGATTAGGCCAACCAGAAAGAGAATGCTAAAAAAGTTCTTGTATTGCATAGTAATCAATCGTTGAGTTGTTGTTTTGAATTGAATATTCGTATGTATAAGAAGCACTGATCATTCGCTGCCTTTAAATAGTGGTAAAGAAGGAAATAGGAAGTGATTCGGCACTCTTTGTATCATGAGCAAGAAAATGATTTGCATCGGCACAACTAAGATAAGAACTATTGTGATAGGTCGAAGAAAAAAAAACCACCATCACAATGAAAGTTTACATCATTTGACCTTTCCCATATTTACATTTCCTCCACTTTGTATGAGTCATAAATGAAAAACATTAAGAAAGAAACGCTGAGCAATATTTTCGAAAATGCTCTTTTTCAATGATCCACACCTATATTTTCTTGTCATCGTCGTTCTTAATCAATAGAAAATTGTTGAAGTTTAGGAAGAAAAACGAAACTATTTTACAAAAGAATCTTCAAACATATATGTTTTTTTTCTATTTCCGCATTATAGAATTCGATCTACGTAGTTTTTTATAATAAAATATTATAAAATAATTCATGATAAATTTCAATCATCAATATTCAAAGTTGTAAACAGTTCAAATGATTCACAAAACAAAGAATCAACAATATGAAATGATAAAATTCTCGAAGAAATAGACAATGTCTGATAATAAATGAAGAACGATAATCAAACATGGTGGTTTTTCGATGGCATAGTTCATCAATTCTAATAATGAATAGAATTTGATCTAACAATTTTTCATCTGAAACCGAACAAATAAATATCGATATATCAATTTCATTGTTATATTGAAATTTTGAATAAACGAATAACATTCGGAATCGATCATAGATTGAATGACGACCGTGTTTGAAATTGAACGAGAATTGATCGTTCGAAATCGAACTGTAAGAGTTTTTTTCAGTGCCAAAACTTGAAAATTTGATCGATTTCATCGAAAAAATATTGTTTTATCTCATAAGATTATATAACATTTCTTTTATCAGAACATTGAGAAAATTTTATTTTTGTGCTCATGATTTCTTAAATTCCATTAACAGTGAAAATAATCAAATTTGATTGACAAGATTTAAAACTTGTTCTCTTTTTTCGTAACCAAACAAACAGTCTCGATTCGGTTCCATTTGATGATTTCTCAGTTCGATCCCAATATTATCAATGACAATGATTCATAATTATATTCAATAGAGAAGATAATAACTTATAATAAACAATAAGCAGATAAATATAAACTTTCTCAACATTTATAACTTATGAAGACTGGCATATGTAATGGAATTTGTTTTCATAGCTTTGCTGCTTTGAATTGCTAATTGTAAATTTGTCAATCCGCTATTGGTGTGTTCATTGAGAAGAGCAAGAAATTGTGCATGATCTTGCACAGCAGTATCATTCAGTCCTTTTTTTTACTCTCGTTGGATAGTATATTGGAGACCTTCATAATTAAGTACACTTGTATCATGACGTGTAGTTGTGAATTAAATATTACTTGTTGTTTCTCTTTTGTATTTCATACATGTATCTTAACAACGATCACTTATGCACCATTTGATCTAAACCGAATTGTTACATGGATTCTGCTCAAGTTGATTTGATAATCAATTCTTTAAATGACTGACTAATAATGAAGATAAGTGAGAGCTTATCATCTTCATTTAATTTGATGAATTATGAACAAAATGGAAAGGGATCGAATTGAGATGAGACCTAACTCAGAGATCATCAAATGAAACCGAAATGGGGTAAGCCGTGAAGAATAGATCATTGTGGTTAACAAATTCATTAGAAGACAAATAATCAATACAACATTTTCAATAATTTTTCAATATTGCTCATCCATTTCCATACGAACTTTGTTGAAAATCACATAAAGATTTAACTGATAAACAAATAAAACAAATCGCTGATCAAATCATGACATGACTCAAAATTTGTTTTCATAATAAAATACTGTTTTGTTTTTTTCTCTTCATTTTTTTTGAACAATATTTTGCATGATATTTCTTTGTTATTGTTTTCTACATCAAAAATAATAATCGAGAATAAAAAAATCTTTTATATATATATTTTTTTTGATAAACTTCATCGTTTAAATGTGCCAGATTTTTCTTTTATTGATGACTTTAGTTGTTTAGCATAATACATTTCATATCTTTCTAATCATCTTTGACATTTAGCTATTTTAAAAGATAAATTTCAAAAAATTGCAATTCTTTAATTATGAACAGAAAATAGTTTAAATCTATGACGAAAGAAAATATTTAGATAATATCAAAATATTCAAATTAAAAAAAACAATGTTGATTTTCAAAAATCATCAATTTTGATCAATATTAAACTTTTGTACTCGATTATTTCCATAATCACACACATAGACATTATTCTCTTGATCAAATGACAAACCGATGGGACACAAGAATTGATTCAATTGACTTTCTTGATCATTTCCACCAATGATAACATTTCTTTCTGTGACTCCTAGAGACCAACGCATGATTCGATGATTCGAATAATCAGCCACATAAAGAGTACCTGATTGATCCACGATAATTCCATTAGAATTTGATAATTGTGATAGATTATTTCCTTTACCGTGGCCACCAGCTACAACGATGCCTTGTTTCTCACCTTTCATCCATTTCATTATAAGATGGTTATCTGTATTTGATATATACACTGAATGATCTCGATCGACGAATATGTATCTGGAATAATACAACTAATCGAGACGATTCCCACATCTATTTCCATCTGCAACCACTGTTTCTTGATTTTCTCTCATTCGAACTCGTTTAACTTCATGTTTATCGTAATCAACAATCGAGAGAAATCTATCATCATTCATTGTCAACCCATAACATCTAACATTTGAGATGATTGTTTCTCCATTTTTACCATTTTTACGAGACCATCGAACTACTGTTTCGTGTTGATAATCACAAATGATAAGACTATTTCTTTCCTTATCAATAGCCACATCTGTCGGACAATACAATTGATCAGAGCGATTCCCTTTTCCATTTCCACCGACTACAACTCGGCCAGTTGTCGCACCACATTTCCATTCCACAATACGATTATTTGCGCAGTCAGCGATGTAAACAGTTTGGTCATCATCAACATACAAA